AAAAAAATCACCTGCTAGAGTTTTATAGATCCTGATTTTTGCTTTTTGTGAGTCATATTTCACTCATTTTTTAAATTTATGTATAATATCAGGAAGATTTTATGGGATAAATATAAAGAAAATAATTGGGTCCAATATTCTCTCACTTGCTAGACTGACCAAGAAATAGATCCTACGTTAAACTCTGTAGTTAAGGGCAGACCTGATTCATAATGGGTGAAGTCAGAAAGTAAGTTTAGCCCCAGTTTCCACCCCAGTAGTGATATTGAATTGCATTTCTTGATGTTCTTCTCCCTGATTGGATGGCTGCTACTTATGGAGGACGAATAGTACGTGCTGTGTTTGGAGACTCATGTTGTGGCCAAAATATGCTCAAGCCTCACCTTGAAACAAGTTCTTTTATGTGCACTCCTCTGGTTGTCATTACTGGTATTTTGTTAATCTGCAATGATTTTCATGTACTGCTAATAGATTATGTTGCTGCTGCATGGTTTTGTAGGCAACTAATAGCCATAGCTTTGTGGTTTTACAGTATGTCGCTGGAGATTATAATAATTATTGTGCTTTGAAGTTGAAAGCAGATTTTTCATGTTTGATGGAAGCACATCAACTGCTATTAAAATTCAAGCTTAGAAATACTTGCTAATTCCCCCTGCTTTAGAATAGGGATTTCATGAGAATCATGGCCTTTTTTTAATGTGATCAAATATATTTTTTTCTTCCTATTCCAAGACTTGTGTGGAACCAATGAAGAAAGGACAATGCCAGGTTCAGTAAGTGACTTGGCATGTTGCAGTATGCCAGCCGATATACCAGAAGCAAAGCCCCATTCGTATTTAGATGCTATCCGCAGCGGGCTTGAAGACGGTGCTGAACCTGGGAGCTCATATGCCTATGATGAGCAGTTGTGTCCCTACGCAGCAGCCGGCATGTGCCAGTTTGGGGACCGGTGCCTCTACCTCCATGGGCAAGTGTGTGAAATCTGTGGGTTGCAAGTACTCCATCCCTTTGATCCAGAACAGAGGAAGGCACACGAGAAGGTAAACGTGACCAGAAATAAAACTAACTTGGCTCTGTTATTTTCAAATCAAATAATTATTTAATTGACAAAAATAATCAGGCCAACTAATAATGCAGGATGTAAAATATAAGAATGATAAAGAGTGAATAATTATATGGGTATGTAAAAATGTGGAACTGGTCCTCATCCGATTTACTAACTCTTGCTATGCTAGCGGCCAATTCCTGATGGATTTTATGCTGCACAAAACATGACAACTGTGTATGTTAGGGGGAAGGGGGGGGGAGAGATAGGTATTAGCACAGGTTATAGGCTGAAATTAGTATTGGGAAAACAAATACTTAAAATATCCTTTGAAAATTATCACTGAAGAAAAGCATGCTTATGCAACTCAATTTGCCCACAAGGGCATAATCATTCCTTGTGTGGATTTTCTATATCTTCTTCTATATCTTCCAGCAGAAGCAGCTGAACAGGCAACATTCCAAAATATAAACATGATCTTTTTTACTTACATTTCAAAGGCTTACTGAATGTTGAATGTTGAATGTTTATTTTATTTATATGCCGCCCTTTTCCCCCGAAGGGGACTCAGGGCGACTCACAACTCAACCAGGGAATGGGGATACANTATATTATATTATATTATATTATATTATATTATATTATATTATATTATAAAGTTAATCACTCAGGCCTTTAAATAACTAAAAGCCTGTTAATTCTTATTTCTTTTATCTTCGGCATCTAGGATTAAAATAATTTAGGTTCCTACATTGAGGTTATCAGTTCTGTGAAACAAATCAATATTGCAAGTATTGCTATCTTTCAAACCATTAGAAATTTCACAATAGCAGAGTCTTGTCTTTATGTTCAGCGAGCTTTCTGAAATAAATGTTTTTAGATCATCATTGTTTCTCATTTGTTAAGATATGATCACGTTAAACCTCTGGGGTCCTCTGCATCCGGGGGCCCAGTGGGTTCTAGACCACTTTACATCGCTGCACCACCATTCCAAAGACTTAACTCTCCATCAGAGCAAACCCCAACTGTTACCAAAAGTAAAGTACACGAATCTGGAAAACGTGAAAAGAAAACCTTGGTGCTCAGGGACAGAGGTGAGTAAGAGTGGGTCATTTTTTTAATGGATTTTCTTTTCTGTACTTAGTCCTTAAAATGTGAAGTCTTTCAATCAGTTGTTATCCTGGTTACATTACAGATATACCCATATAGTTTTGTTGGTAGTAATAGAGAAGTTGTTACTGGCTTCTGGGTTTTCTTTTAAGTTTAATCTGCAAACATGGTATGGTATGCAGTCTCTCATCAAAGTATTAACCAAGCCTAATCCTTCTTAGCTTTTTGAAGTCAGCCATGGTCAGCCATCTATCTGGACTTGATTAGTACTTCATGTCCTATCTTTTCAGAAAATAGACCTCTTTTTTTTCTAAACAACAGCAACAACCTATTGTACTAAGAAAAGTAACTAGTTGCATATGATGATTGATCATTTTCCTCAGTCATTTACCATAATATCCATTCCCCTTATATTTCATTTGCCAATAATGGCAAGTATGTTATACAAAGTGCAGTTGTTCAAGCCAATGATAGATACATCCAAAGTATTTGCTTCACCAGACATCTGAAAATACAAGGCATGTCTAAATACTTGATTACCATCCTTTGCCAGCTCTCTGTAGAACCAGGTCTTTGGACATATATTGTATGACATTTCTGAGGATTCCATCCATTGGAGGCATAGTTCATCGTATTGGTTAAGAAACCTTTATGTAAGAAAGCTTCCAACATGTCTCATACCATTCATACCTACCTATATCTTGAGGTGAAGATTTTTTTTTTTTTTTACTATTTCTAGCAAATGACAGGAAATACCTTTTTGGTGCTGGCATCATGGATATAGAATGGCCTTGTCTTAGAAGCTTGCCTGACGTCAATTGAATTTTTTTTAAAAAAAAT